ATTCAATTCGTGGTAGACAACGACGCGACGCGACATCCGGAGCCCTGCCACAAAATTGGATCGTCCATGGGTTACTGAGCATGCTCGAAGCGAGCGACGGTTCTCAGGTTCACGTTGCATATCGGACGCTCCGCTCTATCATGTCGGTGTCTCTGAATGTCTCCGCACATGTGCCTCATGAGTATGTGGATGAGCTGCGGTACCTCCAGGCCTATAGGCGCACTCCGAAGACCAGACCAGTTCGCAGTCTCGAGGAGCTCATGACCTCAGACACTTACATAGATACCGTTGGAGATTTTCCGCGATGGGTCGGTATGGTGGCGACCTTGCTGAGCGACATCCTGTCAGCTGCAGAGCCATTTTATGCCCAATTAACCCTCATTCTGCAATCTGATGCCACCTTCACCGAACAGACGTTGCCGGTTTTGGTGCATTCTGTTTTGGAAAGTGAACGGTCCACTGCCGGGAACATACCCCTATCCGCTCTGCCGTGCCGAAAGACACTTTCTGCTTACTTTGCCGCCGTTCTGAATACCGGGCACGCCAGCATTCCGGTCGTGTGCTCTATTGTCGATATCGTTCTCCATTTGCGGAATTTCACTCCTCAAGTCGAAAAGGACGTAGCAAAGACCGACCAAAAGAAAGTCGACGCATTGTCCTACGATAAGTGGTTGGCCATCGACTATACGCTGCTGGCTCGCAATTCCATAGCATGCGGTTCCTACACCACGTCACTCCTTTTCTTGGAACTTGCCGCCGAGTATTCGGACGGCGCCCCCACCGACGACGGCGCTGCCCCCATTCTATACGAAATTTACAGCCACATCGATGAACCCGACGGATTTTACGGTATCAAAACCCAGAATCTGCACCAATTCCTTATCAAGCGTTTTCATCACGAAAAGCAATGGGACAAGGCTTTTCGATTCCATAGCGCTTCTTTGGAGGCCGGAAGTACTGATGCGGCAGAGGCCGACGGGCTATTGCAATCCTTTCACTCGTTCGGGTTCAATCACCTTGCGATCGACACTTTGCAGAGCTCCTCGTTCAGTGCTGGCGCGACGTTTACGCCGGGCATGAACTATCGCCTTGGTTGGCGGACGGAGACGTGGGATCTTCCTGAGCGGCAGGGCGAAGGAAACCCCGGGGCGCCGCTCTATAACGCTTTGCGTGCAGTTTATCGCGCACGCAACCCTCGCGTGATCCAGTCCGTTGTCCGTGGCGCGATATCCGAGGAGATGGGGCGGCTTCGGGTGCTTGGGTCAGAGAATGTCGCGGAGATTCGGGACACAGCTCAAAACCTGATGTGTCTCAACCAGGTTTCACAATGGTTCAGTCTCAACACCCAAAACCGTCTCAATACTCGCCAAATCGATCGGTCTCAGTGGTCAAAATTCATCGATCTAGGCACGGGGTTTGGGTGAGTACTAGACATCCAGCCTTCGATATGCGTTGTCTGACCAATTCATTAGTTTTTCGGACTTTGAGAATGTGATGGCGACGCGGATATCTCTTGTTCGTTCGGTCAGGAGAAAGGAGGAACGCCACCAAATCGGGAACCTCATCTCGCCATTTTGCAGGTGCCTGCTTGACGTCGAGAAAGAGTGTCTCATTAAATTGTCGCAAGCCGCCAGAGACGCGCAGCAGATCCAAATTGCGCTCAATTCGGTGATTCGTGCTAAAAGCTTAGAACACGCGCCTTCTTTCGAGGTCTCTGCAGAGTTTGCTAGCGTTCTGCGCCTCCACAAAGAGGAGAAACTAGCTATCCAGTTCTTGAAAGACCTCGACCTTACGCATCTCCCTCCAGCCGAAAAGGCCGTTATCCTCGCTCGCCTGGTAAGCTCTTGGATCCTCTTTTTTATTAGTCTCATCGTAAAATCAGGGCACCTGGATGGCCGAAGCTTGCTTGGAGAACCCAACCGACATCGCCGCTCATTACTTTGAGCCAGCCACCTCTTACGTCAACAGCTTCCGCGACAAAACTCCCACAAAGTTCACAGCCTCTCACGCAAGAGTTTACCATCAATACGCCAGTTTCGCTGAACACCAATACAAGGCCATAAAAAATTCGCCCGACGCTATCCGATGGAGAGTTTATGTCGACCGCAAGACGCAGGAAGTTCAGCTACGGAGAACCCAAGGTCAAGCGAAATCACTGCACGACGCCAAAGTACTTTTGAAGACTGACCAAGAGTTGTTCAAAAAACACAACAAGGCTCGCGAGACTTTCCTTGCGCACGCTATCGAGATGTATTCTCGGGCTCTTGAGGCTTCGGATGCATTCGATGGTGATGGTGCTATCCGGCTTTGTTCTTTGTGGTTTGAGAACTTCGACGAGACAGAATTTGAGTTCCAAGACAAAGTCAGGGAGGCACTAGGTAGAATCCCCTCGCGCAAACTGGTGTTCCTGGCTGTGTGTTTTTCTTTTTCTCATCATCTCATCTAATACTGACCTCGGCATAGCATCAACTGTCTGCGCGGCTTTCGAAAACGGCAGAGCCGATGAAGAACCAGGAAAACCTGGAGACCGTCGTACTGCGTATGTGCCGAGAACATCCCTTCCACAGCTTGTATCAAGTCTACGGCTTGTTACCCTATACACCTCCGGCCGCAACAGATAAACGCCAGTCTGGCCGGCATAGTACGCCAGGCGTCGGTCCTTCTCCGCCGAGTACGCAAGCGATGGCGCGCAGCGAAGCAGCAACTGCAATCTTCGACCGCTTGCGCGGGGATCCTCAGAGCGCGAAACGCATCAAAGACGTCGAGCTCGTGGCCGGCGCCTGTCTGGCGTGGGCCAAGTTCGCGATCGTGAAGACCCCGCTCGATCCCAGTCACCCCAGTCACCCCAAGTCCAAGTCGATCCCGATCCCGACCGACCAGCCCATTCGCAAGCTTGCCGGAGTAAATGTGCCCGTGCTCACGTACCCGCCGGCGCTCGATCCGAGCTTGAAGTACGATAACTGCGTATTTATTGACAAGTATGAGTCGAATTTTGAGACTGCTGGCGGGATAAACTTGCCGAAGATTTGCAAGTGCGTGGGCAACGACGGTGGACGGTACAAGCAGTTGGTAAGAGAGTTGTTGCTAATCTCCTCCATCGCCGACTCACATTTGGCGCAGTTCAAAGGCGAAGGGAACGACGACTTACGGCAGGACGCGGTCATGGAGCAGGTGTTTACGCTCGTCAATACGGTCCTACAAAGCGACCGGGAAACCAATAGACGGAAGCTCAACGTCCGCGGCTATACGATCGTTCCGCTCGGTGCCCAGGCGGGGGTTTTGGAGTTTGTCATCAACACGACCCCTATGCAGTTTTGGCTTCAGGCTGCACACGTAAGGTAATGACAAGCTTCACATTTCGCGAAACCGTTTACCGAGAGTACTTGCAGGTACAACAAGAACGACTTGAATCCCAAAGTCGCCAGAGATCGCATAATCAAGGCGTATGAAGAATGGGGCAAGGCGGCCAACGGCAAGCTCCCCGAGCCCGAAAAGCAGCTCATGCGGTATCTCGACGTCAAGAAACAGTTCCACCCGGTGATGCGCCACTTTTTCACGGAAAAGCACAAGAACCCGATGGCGTGGTTTGCGATGCGGCTGAACTACGTACGGAGCGTCGCGACGACGTCGATCGTAGGACACGTCCTGGGACTCGGGGACCGGCACGGGTCGAACATCCTGCTCGACACGGAAACAGGCGAGATGGTGCACATCGACCTCGGGATCGCGTTTGACCAGGGGAAGCTGCTGACGGTACCAGAGCAGGTGCCGTTCCGGATGACGTCGGACGTCGTGGACGGGATGGGCGCGGCGGGGACGCAGGGGGTGTTCCAGCGCTGTGCGGAGGAGACGCTGCGTGTCCTAAGGGAGGGCTCGGAGGTGATCATGACTGTGCTCGAGGTGTTCAAGCACGATCCGTTGCACTCGTGGACGGCGAGTGAGATCAAGCTGAAGAATGTGCAAAAGGACGCGGACGGCGCGGGCGGCGGGCTCGGGCGGTTCCGGACGGGGCTGGGGGGGATTGGGATTGACATGGCGAGCGGGACGGCGGATGAGGCGGCGGACCGCGCGTTGACTGGGGTCGCGCGCAAGCTTGACAAGGCGATGAGCGTCGAGTATACGGTCAACGAGCTGATCGCAGAGGCGACGGACCCGATGCGGCTCGCGACCATTTGGTGGGGTGAGTGCTGTTTTAAAAAAAATGTTTATAAACCCATACTGACGCGCTCCATTCAGGCTGGGGCGCCATCTATTAGTTTCTCGTTTTACATATTTATCTTGCATGTGTTCACGAACAACCACGACTCGGGGGAATTCCCCACGCATAACTGTATCGACTACCATGTATTGTATCACACCCAATCCGCATCTTAGTTTTTCTTTACTTTCTCGCCTCTCAATTCTCACTGCCAAGACCGGTCAAAGCGTGAAGCTTGGCTTGGCGATCAGTTGATCGACATCGCCACCACGGTTGAACCGTTTTTGTCTCAGACTCTCATGTGGCTTGTCTCGATTCCTGATGTGTGGCTCGTCTTTCTTCTTCATGTCTGACCTTTCGGCGTCCGTGTGTTTACGGGGTTTTCGCCGCGCGTTCTATATGTGACTTGAACAAGTTCGAACTTTCACATGTGATTCACGCGGTTCAGAATACAACCTGCACGGAAGACCGCCGTCTTCCGACTAGTCTTTCGGGCCTTGTTTTCGACAACCTTCACTGCAGCACTGCTGTTGGTTTCAACCACGACCCGGCGCCTGAATGTCATGCGTACGGCTCGCCTCAAGGCATTTTGCGTTGCGGGTAGACCGACCAGTTTCGATTTCTGCACTGTTCGCTTGAGCTTACTCGGATGCGACGTATTTGCCAGCGTCGCGTCGACTACTTTTTTTCTGGTCGGCCCCGATCTCCAGTTACAACTTCAACTAGAACCGAGGTGCCCGAGTTTTACTCCTCTTCAGCATGAATCTGCAGTCACCTAGTCTGTTGTGCGGATTGCAGTCATGGCCTGATGGTGTAGTGGGCACAACTGCTAAAAATTGGATATAACGATGTTGGTAAGCAGGAGGACCTCGTTCGAACCGAGGTTAGGCTATCCGCTGGAAGTTTGTTTTTTCTTCTCTTTTCTTTTCAATGTCAACTGCTACTTACTGCGCGTCGGGTAATTAAATCGTGCCTCGTCTCGAGTTACAAGTTGAAGTTCAATTGCAAAATTCACTGCGCGCGAGTGCTGATATTTCTATTTTTCTTTCGGACACCTGAATCGATAAGTACCTTAAATTCTATTGTATAGGTCGCAATCACGACGTGGTGGTGTAACGGGTACTTATTCGAGGAATTGAATGAATTGTAGGCAGGAGGACCTTGTTCGATTTAGGTATGGACACTTCCGCTTTGATAACTCTTTTTTGTTCTACTCCTCTTGCCTGGAATAGCACGGCCTTCGGGCAACTTGTGTACATGTTTCTTATATTAATTCCATCACGGCCTCTTGTAAATTCAGTGTGCAAGGCTGACTTGTTGACAAATGGACCTAGGCGGTAGTGGTCGGTTGACAGTGATCTTGACGTCAAGAAGAGGCTTTGTATAGGGATTCAAGGGCTTCAAGGGACAATACAAGAGTAGAGTTACGGTGGTTGTGAGAGTGTAGAATCAGATAGAGATGAAACGTGATTTGTGAATAGCCATGTCTTCGAGCGAGTACCAGCAGAGACCATCCCGGGAGTCGATTCAGGAGTACCACGCCCTCCTTGCAGACGCCAACGCCCACGCCGCACAACACAACTTTATTCCTCACCGTCAGCCACCCCCGCCTCCAAACAAGCTCCGCAATTCCCTCCAGAAGCCCAATCCCCGCACCCGCAAGCTCAGTCTCCCTTCCTCCTCCTCCCCCGACCCCTTCGCAAGCCAGCCCATGGCTGCTGGTTCACCCCCACCCCGTCCTTCTCGTGCAAACACGGCCACCCTCACAGACGTCTTCCTCCCAACAGACCAGGCAATCCGCAGGCTGTCGACACCGGTCGTCCCCAACCACGACGGCGCTTTCTACGCAGATCCCCAGGAGCAGCTGCCCCCGCCACCCCAGGAGTACGCCCAGTCCACCATCCGCTCCCGCAGCGGCACCACGTCCTCAAAGGGCAAAAAGTCCGTGCTGGGCAGCCTGGGCTTCATCTTCAACACCCAGAAGCGTCCAGAGATCAGCACCCCCTACGACCCTGTCCATCTCACCCATGTCGGCTTCAATACCTCCACCGGCGAGTTTACAGGGCTGCCCAAGGAATGGCAGCAGCTGCTCCAAGAGAGCGGCATCTCTCGCTCAGACCAGGAGAAGAACCCTCAGGCCGTCATGGAGATTGTAAAGTTTTACCAGGAGGGCCAGGCAGAGGGCTGGGACAAGCTCGGTGCAATGGGTGCCTTTGAACCTCCCGACGACGGTTTCCAGAACCCGGTGAGTCCCTTGTAATTTTTTTCTTTCAATTGACCGTACACTAAAGACGCCCACAGCGATCACCACCACCCCGCCAAAAAAAACCCAGTCCGCCTTTTCGTCCCCCGCTCCAACGGCGTACCGGCCCGCCCCAACGCCGCCGACCGCCGTCTCCCCCACCCTCGACCGCTCCACCTCCCAGCGTACCCCCTCAAAGCCCCCCGCCTCCAAGCCTGTCGAGCGCTCAAACACCACTCGCGACCGCGCCGCCGCGCCTGGGCCAGGCCAGCCCAAGCTCCCGACCCCCTCCGCCAGTGCCGCCAATAGCACTACCCCGAAGCCGTCCCCGGGCTCGTCCTCGAGCGACCTCCCCCTCCGTCCCGGCGCCCCTCCACGTGCACCCCAGCCACCCTCCGCTGCCGCCGCGTCCCTCGCCAAAGCTGGCGCGGCCGGCGCTACCCCGCGCCGCCGCGAAAAGAAACCGGCCGATAAAGACAAGGACTCGGACATCGTGCGGCGTCTGCAGCAAATCTGCACCGACGCGGACCCGACGCGGCTCTACCGCTCGCTCGTCAAGATCGGGCAGGGCGCGTCGGGCGGCGTCTACACCGCGTACCAGGTCGGCACGAACCTGAGTGTCGCGATCAAGCAGATGGACCTGGAGAAGCAGCCCAAGAAGGATCTGATTATCAACGAGATTCTCGTCATGCGCAGCTCGCGGCACCCGAATATCGTAAACTACATCGACTCGTTTTTGCACAAGAACGATCTGTGGGTGGTGATGGAGTACATGGAGGGCGGGAGTCTGACGGATGTGGTGACGGCGAATTTGATGACGGAGGGCCAGATTGCAGCGGTGTCGCGGGAGACGGCGCAGGGGCTGCAGCACCTCCACCGCCATGGGGTCATCCACCGCGACATCAAGAGCGACAATGTGCTGCTCAGCTTGATTGGGGATATTAAACTGAGTGCGTCACGTTTTTTTACCTCTATTCTTTCGCTAAGAGGCCCACAGCGGACTTTGGGTTCTGCGCGCAAATCTCGGACCCGGCGCACGCAAAGCGCACGACGATGGTCGGGACGCCGTATTGGATGGCCCCCGAGGTCGTCACGCGCAAAGAGTACGGCCCAAAGGTCGACATTTGGTCCCTCGGCATCATGGCCATCGGTGCGTTGCGTGTCCCCTCCCTACTGATTAATTAATGCTAACATTGGCGCGACCCAGAAATGATCGAAGGCGAGCCCCCCTACCTCAACCAAAATCCCCTCAAAGCGCTGTACCTCATCGCGACCAACGGCACGCCGACCATCGCCAACCCCGAGTCGCTCTCCGCCGTGTTTAGTGATTACCTGGCAAAGACGTTGGAGGTGGACGCGGAGAAGCGGCCAAACGCGACGGAGCTGCTGAAGCATCCGTTCTTTGCGCTGAGCGAGCCGCTGAGGACGTTGGCGCCGCTGATCAAGGCGGCGAGGGAGATTGCGAAGGCGCCGAAGTAGGCGGTGGGGGGCGCGAGCGTTGTAACTTTTAGGGCGTCTATGATAGGCGCGTCCGGAGGGGGGAGGGGGGGGGGAGGGTAGAATGTAGGAGGAGTGTGTGGAGGAGTGTTTTGATTCCCTTTCTTTTCTTTCCTTTTTTTCTCGCATCCCATCTATCCATTCCATCTATCCCAATTTTTTCTTTTCTTTTCTTTTCTTTTCGTTTCCTTTTTTTTCAAGTTAGTACGCTACCCCCGCCAGCCAAAGTCAAAGTGTTGTTGTAACAAGCCCTGGTTTCCCTCCGCCTCCCCTCTTCTCCGCACCCACCGTCGCGCCCAGATGACGACGCACCCGCACCCGCTCGCATGGACTCACACTACCATCATCTCGTCGAACCCCGTCACGCTGTTGTATCACCAACCAACGCATACCCAGAATAAAGAACGAACGGACAAGAAGCACATCATTTCTACTTTACGATACTTACGACCGACCGACCGCCACTTATTAGACGGCGGGCGGGGTGGGCTGCGCGGCACTCCTCTGCGCTGAGGGAAGACTTAGGGGCGGAGGGCGCTTGGGTACCAAAACCGAGAGGGACCGAAACAAAAAGGCAAACGGGAGGCGAACGCGTACGGACACGCTTGTTGGTGGTTTTGGTGTTGGTGTTGGTTGGAGGGATGGTGGTGGTGGTGGTAGGTAGAATAGCTGAACGAACGAACGAACAAAGAAGAAGAAAGCAATGGAAGAATGGATGAGTAAATATCATTGTTGTGGTTGGCGTATCTATAGATTGTAAGTATGTATCGGTTGTCGTGCATTGGAGGCCTAGGCATGGCCATGGGGGACAAGGATTGCGACGCGTCCAAGGCTTATTGGGGTCAATAATCTTTGACCTTGTAAACCCTATGGGGATGGGAGCATAAATTTAAAATACAAGAATTCGGGACGCCGGAGCGTAATTCCCCCAACAGCCTCGTTTGACAAGAAAATGTGAACGCGTTCAATAGTCCTCCAGCTTGTAGACATCGTATGCGACCTCCTCGTACGGATGTACCTTCACTCCGCATTATTCCAAGACTAGAATAAGTGGACGCGTAACCCACCGCCTTGAGCGCCTGCACGACCTCGCGCATGCGGTCGAGCACGAGCACCTCAACGCGGTCCTCGTCGACGTACTCGAGCTCGCCGGGGTGCCCGATTGTGGGGTTTGCGGTGGCGGTGGGGCGGAATTGGCCTGGGGCGCGTGGATTCAATCAATTAAGCAGAGGGGAAAGGAGGCGGAACGCGGAGGGAACACGCAGGCACCTGTGCCACGAGTGAGGAACGCACAGCGCTCGTAGTTGCCGATCTTGCCGACGTAGACTTGTTTCGCAAACTTGAACCGACTTTATATAGTCTTGAAGACAGCAGTTCGCACGTAGATAGAAAGAAGAAAAAGTCGGAGACCACAAAGTTCAAGACACAATAGTGGACAGAAAGCAGACGAAGCAAGCTTGCTTCGCAGAGTCCTAGTCATTTCCCTAGTTGCACGATGCCTTTTACCATCATGAAGTCGAGGTGGCTGAATCAACGCTCACCATGCGCGATCGAGTTCACCACAAACCCCACCTTTTCCAGCCCTACTCCGCTGACAACCCACCTGAGGCAGAGAACGCCGGGCGTCGTGGTATGCCCTTCGTCGAATTGAACGCAATATGTTGCTTGGTGCAGGGATGACTCAGTGTCTTCGGACGTGTCGTGGAAATGCCAAGTGGACATGACACGTGTGGACGCATGACTTGGTGCGCGAATTCGTCGCCTACGAGCACCCGCTTGCATTCATGCGATGTATGATGTTCGGCAGGAATGCGGTGTAGCGCGAGGTGTCGGGGAGGCTGCGCGGCGTGGAATTTCAATCAATGAATCATAAATGGTCAAGGAGGGAGGGGACGCGCACCTCAACCACGCGGCCTGGTTGTTCGAAATGTTGGAGCGGATCGAGCGTGGCGCGATGTACATGAGTTGATGTCGAGCGGCTGGAGCTCCATCGAGAGGATGTCGCTCATAGAGAGCATCGCCGCCTTGGTCGCCAAATACAGCCCGTTCCATGGGACGGCGCTGCGCTGCGAAACTTGAGGATGAATGAATGAACTATAAGGAAGGGGAAGCGGACGGGCCGGAGGCAGGGAAAGCCGCCAAGGAGCATGGGT